CTTAGTAGTTTAGCTTGAGCATTAGGTCACACATTTCACCGTTTGAGTTTGAAACTATTATTCTAAAAAACAGTAATTATTTAGTAACACTAATATTTCTTGAATAAGTTTGACCATAGTTTGACCAGATTTGACCAAAATTCAAAAAATTGAAATAATTATTTAGTAACACTAATATTCTTGAATAAGTATGTAGTAACATTAATACTTCTTGAATAAGTAGTTTGACCATAGTTTGACCAGATTTAACCAAAATTTAAAAACTTAAATTTGAGCATATCTTTTTCTTCTTTTGGAATTTGAGGATTCTAAAAAATTGCAAACAGGCCATAGGCTGTCAAAATTGGATGTGGTTTTTCGTGCTGAATTTTTTGATATATTATACGTTTTTTTCCGACATCGTATGCAAAAGTTATAGCCGTTTTACATTTTTCCTACACCTTTTGCAAAACATGTCTAAATTTAAGTTTTTTAATTTTCCTAACTAGTAGGTGTAGTAATATAACTACATCTCGAAGAATTTTATTTTTTGAATTTTTTATCATTTTATTTTGTATTTTTCAAAACTGAAATGGCGATACACCCGGGGGGGGTAGAATTTGAAAATTGCCCTTTAGTACCGGTTCGTGGCAGGAACCGGTACTAAAGGTTAGCCCTTTAGTACCGGTTTGTGCCACGACTCGGTACTAAAGGTGATCGCGGGGCCCCAGCCTGACGCCAGCCTGCCACCACCCGTTTAGTACCGGTTCGTGGCACGAACCGGTACTAAAGGTTCAAAACGAACTGGCATTAATGCATAGCCGTTCGAACCGGCACTAATGGTACCATTAGTACCGGGCCAAAATCGAACCGGGACTAATATGTCTCATATTAGGTCCTTTTTCTACTAGTGTTTAACTTCACCCACCCCTCCGGTGGTGCAGCCCACTTGGGGACAGGAGGCGGGGGCAGGGTATCAGCCTTGAGTAACATGCGGTCATAGGAGATGACTGATTTCCCCTTGGTTGGATCCATATGTGTGTTTGTTTTAATAGCAATTAGAGACTCCAGATAGCTCACAAGGAACCTCCTTGATACTTCAAGAGGCTAGGGTATCTTATTGTGCACTATCTCATTACGTATGAACCAACACCTCCAGAGTGTCATAAGAAGCATGGACCTCTGTATTTCATGCAGTGGTTGTAGGACATGGAATAGCCATTCCTTCCCGACATTCACCACAATATCTACCGGTGGAAGGTTCCAAACCTCGGACATATACAACCAGAGTTCCCGTGCTCTAGGGCAGCGACATAATGGATGGAAGTTGTCTTCTGGTTCCATGCCACACACCAGACATATGTTTGTTGTTTCCAAGGTCCTCTTATGCTTATTAACCCAAGTAGGAAGGGAGTCTCAGACCACTCTCCAAGCAAAGTTTTTGACTGTTGGCGGAATATCAGTTTTCCATAACAAGTTCCAGATGGCCTGGTCACCCTCCGGATTAGTGCTAGACGCAGATTGAGATTCCCGGTTGGCTTCAGCAAAAGCAAACTCATATGCCAACTTCACCGAAAATTGTCCAAATAGATTGGATGTCTCTAGACTTAGATGTGAGATAGTATATTGCATCTAGATGTGAAATAGCAAATCTGAATTAATAAAGCCCGCACCGACGACAGATACGAATAAAAGAGGTCTGGCGCAACAGTTCCACAGGAGCATCAAACCCCGCAAGAGCGCCCGTAGATGTAATGTACATTTGTGTAAAGTTACTGACGAAATACGTTAAAACGGGATCCGCACATAAAAAAACAAATATGTGGTTTTTTAGCACATGCATTGTTCACTCTGAATGTCCATGCTTTCTTCATGTGTGGCTTGCAATTGAAGGTATCTCATCATGATTTTTTACACATCCTTGTATATGTATATAACTTTTAAAGATATTTTTAAACCAAAAAAATGATTTTTATTTATTTAAAAAATAAAGCTCCATTAGCTCGTCCTCCAAAACGCTTCATGGCAAGAATAAGAAATATAAGTCATCCTGCACTGGAAGTTGTACTAAATCAGCGACAATCAATATGGATGAGAGGGAGTAGTAGAACAGAACATGAAAGACTGTGCAATAGCTAGGTGTTGTAACTGGTTGTGATGAATAGGATAAGTGAAAGGTTTTACACGAAGGAAGGACAACGTTATTTTCAAAATGCGTATGGTTTCCAATCCTGGTCGTGTGGTTTTCAACGATAAATAAGTACTAGATGATCGGGAAAAAAATGCCATATGGTTTCCATTTCTTGCAGGTGGATTCCCTAAAGCTGCTTTTGCACTGCCAGACCAATCGTACACGTGTACTTGTACGAAATTCTTATCATCCTATGGATTTACAAAAAAAAAAAGGTGATGTCCATGGCCACTCAAGCGCGTGTACATGGACGACGTTGACTTTTCCTGCGCATGATAGCTCTGCGCAATTTTGTAGGCTGCCACGTAGCCACCTTCATTACATGAGCATTCTTTTCCCTCGTCGGCTGCATATATGCCTACAATCATTTGCCTAGTGGGAGTTTAATTTGTTCAGAGTCAAACCATAGTTTATAATGCGGCTAACCGATTATGCCTTTTTATCGGTTGAGGACGGTCCCGAGGTGATCTTCCCAGCTCAGCAAAGCGGATTTATCCTCGGATAGCAACGGCTTCGGATTGTGCCTTTGGTTCGGGGAATCTTTCCTTTCTTCTTCTTCTCTTTTCTCAGTGGGATATTGCTAGGCATACCACCATTACAACAAGGTACGCATATGTCTACGTCTCCACACATTCCAATCCTAGCCGGCAATTCCAAAAGGTATGTGTTGGATTGGTGGAATGTGTATTGTACATTACATGACATGCTTCATGTGTTGTAATGCAGGGCATTCCTTGCTTTGTTGGGTAGTTGTAAAGAGTGGACCGGCGCGCGGCGTTATTACCTCTTTCTATTTTTCCGCCCTCTGCTTGATTCCCATCCCCTCTTTTCATGTTGTCGGAATGCGTATGTTTCCACCCGACTTAGTGATCGGCGCCTCCACCGTTGCTTCTCCCCTGCCGCTCGTTCGGCCCGTATGTTGTCCACTTTCGTAAGCTGGCTCGGGGGGCACCAATGAACCTGTTTGGCCCGCTTACTTCTCTCGCTCAATCGTCTGCATCCACATCTTAATGAACCATTGGGTCGGTTACTCAACATGGCAGGTTGTCTGCTCCATAGGCTTCTCGGATGGTCCGATAGACAGCGTACCTATTTCTTGGACGACTTAGAAATAGTTATTTCTCGGTCAAGATATTCCTACCCTTTCGACGGAGTTCTTTCCATCCCTTTGTATTTCATGAATCCCCGTCTTAAGATCTTAATGGTCGTCAGCGTAGATTTTTGTAATAGTTGTTATTTGCAGAAAATGGCAAAAAGAAACGAAATATTGTGTGGTACAATGTACCATACAAAATCTAAAAAAAGGTGTTTTGCTGTGCAAATGCTAATTTATATCAGCGTGAAAACACTACGAGGTGTTTGTTTCGGAGAGAAATCCCCGGTACATGTTTACAGTGTAAACAAAAAACAAGACACATGTTTGGTACGTGTACACTGTAATCGCCTTCTTTCCGGGCCAACTCTTCATTGATACCACCCCCTCCCCCTCCCCCTCCCCCCCCTGGCGTAAACGATTCT